AAACCTGAAATCGTGAAAAAGAGTACTAGCTAGTTCACTCCATCTTATGTTGCCTCAACTTGCGCTGCCAGGGCAATGAACGAAGCTTTCGGCGCCCTGCGGAATACTCAGACTCGGTACTCCGCAGTGCATGGTAAAAGTGTCCAAGTAAACAGACTTTGAAGCTTCATCAAGGCCCCTCCCTACTTTTGCTGCTGGTACGGATACCCGACGCATCTAGTAGGGATTCAGGCGGCTGGCTGATCCCATCATATCAACTTGATAGGTTATAAATTTGTTACATCGGTCGAATTATACGTGTCTGCTCCACACTAGAGCCACCACCGACTGCGCCTTGGGTACATTCCTGACCACCCAGTCAGGAAGTGGTAGTTGAACGGTCTCCATGGAGCTAAAAATTGCACTGCAATTTTTAGCAATTTCTAGCTTCCGGGAGGCCTTCACGTCCGTCAGCCTTGCCCACGCTCACTGTCGTCCGTCGTCCGTGCGTAGATGGTTTGTCTCTCCCGCCGCTTACCCCTAACCCTGAGGGACGCGAAGCGACGGGGGCACACGATCCTAAAATGGAGACCACTTCACTTGGGGATGGATAAAAAGGACCCGGGAGACCTGGTTGGATGTGCTGCATCCCGTGCAGCGAAAGGTTTGTATTGTATTTGCATGGCCAGAAAGAAAAAACGCTCGCTATATAGCACACACATAGTTTTCCACTATTACCTTGGAAACGGTACTCGGTTCAAGAGCGCAGCTCTTTTAGCACGCGCCCCTTTTTCCCTTTTTCTTTCTCTTTTTCTTCATTATTTATTTCCTTTTCTCTTCTCCTCCGCACCACCACTCCCACTTTTCCGGCGCATGCATTCCCATTTCCGTTTCTTCTTCACGTCATCGCCGCCGTTGATAGGAATTCGTCCTGCAAATTCCTCCCCGCTTCTGTATTGTATTGCCGCGCGGCAGTCTCGTTGCCACGCCAACACACCCTCACCTGTCCTATGGTGTCTTGTCATTTTGAGAGCAGGTTTCTCTGCATCGCGCCGAGATGGAGAAGTTTGGCGAAATGCATGTTGCGGAGCAGGTGGTCTACGACTGGGGAATGTACTTCAAGGCCCATTCTGGATTGCGGTCAAGTCAGCAGCTGCTTCATCATCATGATACCTACTTGCCATCCACAGTGCGAGTCAAGAGTAACTGGAGAGAAAGCACATACCTGCAGCCACCGGAGGACTAACAACCTTGGGCCCCTTGTCGATGTTGGCCTTGGGGTGGTCGTCGATCTCGAGGTGGCCCGTGGCCAGCTGGACCTTGCCGCCGACTAGGACGCCGTGGCAGGCGTCGACGGCGCACGTCTTGCCCTGCGCATTCTTGGACGTCACTGGCACGAGAACTTTGTGCGCCGCGGGTCCATGTCCGCCACCTTGGGCAAAGTGCCGCCCGCCCCCTGCCAGAACGGCGAGTTGCACTCGTACGCCTGCGTCCGCTCCCACCCGAACAGCGGCCCCGACTTGATGTACCCCCACGGCGTGTCGACCGACATGTTGACGTCGGATACCACCTAGACTCGACGGTCAGCACACGCACGCGCTCATCGGGTTCTTTCTAGATAGACTACTCATGTTCACACAAGGGTGGTGCCGGTGCCGGTGCCGGTGCCCTGGGGCTTGGTGCCCAGCGACAGCAGCGCCACCTTGAGCACGGCGGCTAGGTCGAAGCATTTGACGTACTTCTTGCTCCGGCTGAAGAAGCTGCTCAGCACGATGGTGGCGCCGCTGAGGTGGTGCGGCATGCCGCCCACGCCCAGCCGCGGGTCATAGAACAGCGGCGACGTGCCGGGCTTGCCGCGGTCGCCGAGCTTCCACAGCTTGTTGACCACGTTGAAGAGCACGTCGCCCTCGACCTCGGCCCACGTCTTGCCCGCCACCTTGGCGAAGTCGAGGTAGGCCAGCCGGTTCAGGTCCAGGAAGAACTCGTTGTCGTAGTAGTACGGCAGGTGGTGCGTCGGCCCGAACACGAAGTAGAGCTCCAGGTGTGTCTGAGACCTGATGCCGCCCTCTTTGCTGGCGTCGAGTAGTGTGTGCGCGGCGTCGTCGCGCGCAATGTACCACTGGAACACCGAGTCGGCCTTGAACGGGGCGCCGGGGTCCCTGACGGTGCTGCCGACAACAAACTTGTTGGCGGTGAAGGCCGTCCCGCTCGTCCCGCTCGAGGCCCCGGGGGTGAATGGGCTGCTGATGATTTCGAAGCCGTTGTTGATGGGCGCCTTGTCCGTGAGGCTCCACTGGGTGCCGACCAGGCGATACTTTGGCGCTGCTGCGGGGGCGGCGGGCGCCGCTGGGAACGGCGGCGTGTATGTGGCCGTGGCCTCGATCGGGATGTCTCGCCGGTCGAATAGGAAGGCGGCCGGTCTACCCAGGTTGGCGGTGGTTTCAGTTCCGGGAATGTAGAGGACCTCGTCCGTGTCGATGGTCGGCTTGGGGCTATCCCACCCTTCTCGAATCTCCAAGTTTTTGATGTCGCCCCTGACCCGGGTGGCCTTGGTAATCTTGAGCGTGGACATGGCTTCGAGTAGGGTCACGGCAGTGATATGAGGGCAGAACGATGCTGAACGGGCACCTCGGCTCTGGGAATTGGGGCTGGGGTTCTGTTGCTTGATGGACTGAGATGGGGATTATGGCAATGAGCTTGTGATACAGAACAGAGTGCAACCCGGATCTCCCTCGTCAGGCACACCTCTTTTATACATGTCTTCGTGCACGCTCTTGCCTATCCCCGACAGCCAACGGAGACATGAGCACTCCCTGAAACCCCAGACAGTATGGGCCGCTGGCCATGCTACGCAAGAGAAGATCAAAAGCGTGCTGCGAGTTTACCCTGAGCCTCACCGAAGTTCGTATGCTGCCTGTTTGGTCCTTGGACGCCTATCTGGGTGGCCCGCACGTGTGGCGTGGAACGTCTCGCTGTCGAGGCCGGCGTGGTTCATGCGAGACATGGTCAACATTACATCTCGGCTTTATTGATGTGTTCCTACATCCCAAAGTTGCCCTATTTGCGACACGCGGCATTCGCTGTATGTGTCTGATGCTTAAATTAGGACCGGTCTGATGCTGGGTCTTACGATGTCTTTGTTTTGACCGTCTGGGTTCTTTAAGGAGAATACGGTGATGCCTCAATCGCAGCCCATGTGCGCCCAACGGTCATCAACGCCGACGCGGCGTGAGTGGCGTATGCCTTTCGCAGAGATAAACGTAGCCCGTTGATTGGGTCGGCGGGTATAAGACAACATCCATTCACTGCCGCCCCCAAAGGAGCTGGCTTGCCGAATTACGATCCATGTAAGCAGATCGTGGCACATCAGACATCATGTCAACAAGATTGAAACAATTCGTACAGCAGCACCGGTAACATAGCCTACTTTTGAATTTCTGTTTCGGGGCACAGCAAACATGTCAACGAGCTTGGAGATATTCTCACGGCATCATCGGGCAATGTTTCGGTCGAGGGCATCTCGAGCTTGCTCTTCGCCCACAACGATCTGTACATTCACATGCACCACCAGGGCGCGCCAACTGCGAGTGAAGAACCCGAGGGCAAGTCATTGGCCGCATCAGAACTGTTCCTACAGCCCCCTAAATATGAGTACATAATAATACGCACGCGTCATGGGTCATAATAGTTGACAAGCATAACCAGGCGGCACCGGCCCCGGCAAAATCAGGTACGTTGCCACCAAGCCAGGCCGCGCCGCCCGCACCGCCGGCGGACCCAGTCCGCGACGCATACATCCTCCCCCTCGCCGAGGCGCTCAACAAGTGCTTCGACGACGAGATGCTGCCGGCCACGACCGCGAGCCCGACGCTACCAGTGCTGCGGGGCAAGGCGACCATCATCAAGGACGGGCACGGCGAGGACGTGCTCGAGGTGCGGCTGGCCAACACGGACAACATGATGGCCAGCAAACTGGTGCAGCCGGCGGGCGTCGCCAAGAGAGTCCTGCGCCCCATGCACAACTCGCACCTGCTCGGCAAGGAGAACCTCGGCATCTACATCTTCGGCCTCAGGGGCACGGGCAAGTGCCCCGCCGCGGACGCCAACAAGATCGACGTCGTCCTGGCCCACGCCGACACTCTCGAGATCCACACGGCCAGTATCCTTGTTGTCATCAACTAATTAGTCTCTGTTGCTTTTGCCACAAACGTTGCTAGGCAACTTATTTGGCGGCGCCAATCAAACTGGGCCTTGATTCTGCCTCCACAACTCTATGTAGACGATCACAGGGAAATGACTAAAGTGGAAGCGGTCGTGTTGTATCTAGGTTTGAAAAAAAGAGGGTGTCGGGGTGCTGCAAGACAGACAATCACTCGACGGGCCGGGAGTTACTATTACGAGGTAACCAGTAAGGGATGTAGGTAAAGGTGGTTTACCATGCTGGACATGGGCATGCACATCTGTCACGGACTGACAGCTGGAACTGAAACAAGAAACAAGAAACAAGACAGACAGCGAGAATAATTAAAGCCCCTATGACTCGCCATGTCTTTGGAGCAAACGCGTGAATCTGATTGTTTCCCTAGCGGTATATCCATACAGGCAAATAAAGACACCAAGCTTGACTTCAGAGTCTCAGGCCTGTGCTGAAATCAGGATGTTAGAGGAAATTATATCTAGGTACTCACCTCTTTTTCCATTGGCATTTTTGATCGTGTTTGGATAGTAATTAGGAGGCGTTATTGTTGAAATCTTGTCTACAGTGGAGCAGGCAAAGTTTGGATTCAAGGTCTGAGAACTCTTCTTTGACACTGTGGTTTTACTATTGCCTACCAATGCAGCGACCGAAAAGAGAAAAAGAGAAAAAAGGTACGAATAAGTCCCATCCACGGAGGCAAAAACGACGCCGTTAAACGACATCGAATGAATATACGAAAACAGAGTAACAAATAACAATTGAGCCTGAGCGGTTGCGCGATTACCTGATCGGTCCAGCTAAGGGAGCGTGCAGGCAAAAAGTCTGACAAGGGTGGGATTCGAACCCACGCCCCATTTCTGAGACCAGGAGAGAGAATTCAGGTTGACCTGAACCTGGCGCCGTAGACCGCTTGGCTACCTTGCCTTTGATGCACGTTGGCTCCGCAATCCGCATCCATGAGCCAAGCGACCAGCCAGAGGAAGAGGGAAAAAGGGGAACGGAAGCAAATATGCTTCAATAGCAAAATTTATTTTAATCTCGACTATTGCGGAGGTAAGAAACCAACAAAGAGTCGCTCAATCCAAGCGAGATGGATTTCGAGGCACGGGGTCGACAACTTTAGACAAAATATGTCTGTGTGTTTGGGGGATCGTTGCGGAAATAGAGTAAACATTACCAACCTGACCAGCTATTGCAGAGCGATTGGGCAACTGGAACGTACGGCAACTCAAAGTGCTAAATATTGTCTCTCATTCAAGCGAGAAGAAAATGCAGGGCCAACCTCCATGCGGTCACAGTTCTGCCAGGCAACCGGGTGAAGAGTAGGAGACTGGGCGGACAGGAATAGACATACATGGTTAAACAGCTTGCATCCCTGCCGCAAGGGGCAGAGATGCAAAGTCATACGATGGATACCATCTATCGTTTCCCATACTTGAGCAGCAAACAAGTAAAGGGGTAGGTCCGCCGAGAAACCCGGAATCTTGGAAAGATGGGGGGGGGGGCCTTCTTCCCACCTCGGGCTCCACAACATGCTATATCTATCCAAGTACACACTGGACGAGAGCTTGTGAAGTGTTCTTGGCCCGGGGCGCAGAGACAAGACATGCTGGCAAAGGCAGACGGGACAGGCGGCTGCTATGCCCGAGAAAGAATGAGCATCGACAATGCAACCGGATGTTCGGCAACCCAAGAATATATAAAAATATGCTCTTCGGTAAAGGGAGGTCTTGCGTACGCAATCACGTCTAGGGGGCCTTGGAGCTCCGAGGGGCCATGTCCCTTTTTAGGACCACGACGAGCGAGCTGACCCCTGAGCCTGAATTATGGGGGGGCGTCTATCGCCAGGCTCGACTTCCCGCTGGGAGCCTCATGATATAGATGCCGCACACTATATTCGAGCCGCCAGCTTGGTCCATCCGGGGCATTGTTTTCCGGAGGTTAATACTCGTGTCCCCCTTCTTGGCCATATAATGTGCAGGGACGCGTTGATGAAGGGTGCGCCACTCGGGTCCGAGCCGCCTAGATTCCGCCTTTGCCAGTCTGTCAGAGCCGGATTGCATTGCCCACCCATTTTCCAAGAGCTGCAGTGCAAGAGGCGTCGGCCTTGGTGCCGATAGAATCCAAGAAACCGAAAAGACCGCAGAGCCCCCGGGGCGGAGGTTGAGCGCTTGGTCGTCGGACGTCCGTGGATGGCTTATTAAACGCAGGTCGGGATCGCTGGATAAATTCAGCTTCCAATTTGCGTCGCTGGGCAATGGCTTTCAAGGGCGCACCAACTTCGGTGCCGGTATGCGTCTTCCAAGAATCCAGGGATAGATAGATCGATAGCTCTCGATATCATAAATCCGAAGAAAGAATGCCGTGTATAAATACGTCGTCATTCGCTGCAGGAGAGGTGGGCATCAGAGAAGGGCGTGGAAAGCTTCTTACTCCTCGAATCATCAAAGCAAGGTCAATTCAAGCTACCGCAAAGATGCGTTTTTCAATCCTCGCTCTCGTCGCCACTGCCAGCTCGGCAGCGGCATTTCCCTCTCTGAGGTCACTCCTCGCGCCGCGCGCCGACTGCCTGACGGATGCGGATGCCAAGGAACTCGTCGAGGCCTACACGAGGCTCATCGCCAACTACCAGGACGCCGACTGCATCAAGTACTGCGCCGAGGAGTTCGTCGACAGGTCTGACAGCATCAACACCTTCATCTTTAAGCCGCTCGGCGATCCCACGTTCGCAACCAAGAAGATTTTCATGGAGGCGCAGGCTTCCAACCCGCCGTTCCCCCTCGTCGTCGACAGCGTCGATTCCGTCTCGTGCTCGGCAATCGGCCTGCGCTGGCACGCAACATTCGGCGCTGCCGATCTGCCTAGCAGAGGCATCACCCTCATTGGCGCGACCAAGGAGACCGGCGCCTGGCAAATCAAGAGCTTGGACGTCGAGTTCAACAGTTTGATCTGGCTGCTTAATATGGGCGGCAACTACACCTGGGAAGGCTAAATGCGAAGTGGGTGTGTGAGGGAGGGGAGGGCTCGACTTCTGCCGTCCGAGGTGAAGAAGTTATAGAAAATGCTGCTGCGGAGAGAGAGACACGAAGAGAAGCAGACGACAAACACGGAGGCCTAGGCTGTACATACACAAAAAGTGAAGGCTTGCCCCAATTCAGCACACTTGAGTCCATAATGCCAATTTTTTCTTTTCATCTGACGAATAGTTCCTGGTGAGATGTTGGCGGATTAGTGTATTTTGTGGATGTCTTCCATGGTTGTTCCATGTTTCTTTCCCTGCCACATCGAGAATGATTCGATTCGGGTAGGGGAGGACTTTGACACATCACGCCTAAGCATGTAATGTAATGTACACTAGTAGGAAAGATAACGCGCCGTGGCGGTTCAATGGAACTCGATGCGGCTGTGTTCTCCAAGAATAGGTATCGCATTGTCGGCGGAGAGCGAGACAGAAACAGGTACTAACAGAGAAAATGCGGAATCAAATCGACCACGGAAAAGTGTACAAGTGTAGGGACATTCATCCCAATCCCAGGCCAGGTCGGTAATAAGGTGATGGTGGGCCGTTGGTGGCTGACGAATTAACCTCCGGTAGACCAGGCCTGCTGCTAACATGGAAGATGCGGGGTGCAGGCAACGAACGTGTTGTAGGGCTGCATAGTAGAGGTGGCTCGAAGGGGATGACTACCGCAGCATGCGCAGCACCCCAGGTCTGACTTGGACCTTGAGAAGGGACTAGGGAACTAGGGATGCCTCACCAAGGTATCGTGAGGTCTGCAAATTTCTTCGTTAAGCGCGCATCATTGCCGCGAAGAGACTGTGCCTTGGCTCAGATTTCGTCAAGAAACTGTCGCCCACGTTTTCAGCGGCTGTGTGTCTTGGACGGGAGCCACAGGAGCCATAGAACGACGAGAAGTGGCTCAGTCCCCGTCTTGGACGCCAAGTTACTGGGGATGTTTGACTTGGTGAACTTCAAATGAAGCTGAAAAGAGTTGGCACCAGTCTCGAGCTGAGAAGAAGAGGCCGTTTCGCGAAGCCATGACGACTTGAGGGCGAGTCCGAAGGCTGAGATGCGAGCTGACATCGGACTGGATCTCTTATGCCGAAGGCTTGCAGGATGGTGCGCATGGTTTTATGAGTGGCTGTGCGAGCCTGGGCTGTAAAGGTAACGCTGCGGAATTCTCTAAAGTGGCCAAGGATGGCGATTGGAGAAGGATTCGACCCGTGCGCTGTTTGGCGAATGCGTCCAAACGTCGAGGTTCGCGCCTGCCATGTCTGCCATCCACACCAAAGTTTAACTCGCGGAATATTACGTATTCGGAGCATTGTAATGACAATGGATGAGTGAGCGAGTCTGGAATGCCTGATAATATTTACGAGTAGAGTTCTGATTTGTGTAAGAGGGGTCTAGAAACTGACGTGGTGGCTGTCGTCTGAACTTCTTGGGTTCTGAGGGTTCCGCTGTGCCCCCGAAAAGAAAAACGGCGATGCATTGGTGGGCGACAGGCCTACCGAAGGACGTAACCGCGCTGATGGGGGGCCGAAGCCCAAGGCTCATTTCCCGTTTGGGATGGTGGCCCCCGTCCGCACCCATCAATGACACTCCGTGACACATCGCAATTGCAGCAGCTCCTTTCGCCATTTCAGCATCTTGACGCTTTCACAAAACATGGACTTGACTTCCTGAGGCATGGGCAAGTTTTGCATGTCTCGCGAGTCAAGGGGGAGGCATCTAGGAACGGGATTGATATTGGAGTCCCAGGCAGATCTGGTACCTGGTTCGAAAGGGGAGGAACCCACCTGAGATGGGACGGGCTGGCGGAGTAGACATGGAGGGTCCTGTTTCATTTACCAAAGGCGCAGTCATAATAGGCTCACCGAGGTTGGTGTGGCCTGTCAAGTCTGTCACGCCTCCACCATCGAGCTTCCAGGTTACCGCCGCTAAGCTGTCCCAGTTGGTAATGTCACACAAGCTGCCGTCTCCATCTCCTCGGTTTTCCTCTTTCCCCTTTCACAACTCATTCGCGCCTCTCTTTTATGTTCGCCGTTGTCACTTCGCCGCCACAGTCATTCTTTTACTTATAGCCCCCAGCCTGTCGCTCTTTTGAATCTCATCCTTTTCTGGGCCCATCCATTCTTGTTCTGGTCTCTCGTTTGACAAAAATAACGCACAGCGCCGTTCGCGTCTCTGTTCGGTCTCGACTGAATAACTTTCTGATATTTCTGCTCTTCAAGTTATACTGTCGGGATACATATTCAACATTCAACAAAATGCACTTCTCTATCGCTACCGCCGTCGCTTTCGCGAGCGCTGTCCTCGCCCAAAAGTTGCCCACTCCAGGGTTCGATGCTATTAGCCAGCCGACCAAGGGAGAGAAGATTCCTGCCGGCTCCTCGTACAAGATTGTATGGGAGCCGAGCACAGTTCACACAGGCCCCATCGCCATTGACCTCCTTGGCGGCCCTACTCCCGGGTTCTTGAAGGTCGTCAATAGCATCGCAGGTAAGCGCGCCATATACCACCCACCTAAGTGGCGGGGATCATGCTGACGTTCATCAGCTGGTGTTGACCAGACCGCGGGAACCTTCTCGTGGGCTGTCAACAAGGAGCTTGGAGCGTTGGCGACGTATGGCATTCAGATCAGCCTGGAGAGCAATACTTCCATCTTCCAATGGGGTAATCCGTTCGAAATCACTGGCGGTGTGATCGGGACAACCTCCACGACCTCGGCCGGGTCGACTGCTTCTACTACTACTTCTGCGACATTGGAATCGACATCGCTGTCATCGTCAGCCTCTACTACCGCCCCAGCCACGACTGACAGCACTACGGTCACAACGCCTCCCTCGTCGACTCTCACCACCAGCTTGGCGCCCCCGAGCAACCTGTCCACTACCCGCACGACCGCCACCAACGTCTTGAC